CGCAACTTTTGCCAGTTGAACCTTTTACAAGTGTATAACTTATTGATAGCAATTACAGTAATCGGCTGTGCAACCCTACCCTTAACCAGTGGGATTTTTCCATCACCATTAACGCCTCCTAGCCTACTCTGTAAAAATGGCTTGAGGGAAGTGTCCAACCTTCTCTACCTTCACAAAGCAGAAGGAGAACCAAGATCAACAGCCCAAGGCTTTGATTCCTACGAGGCCGAGGTCAGACATGCCTCCTCTCTCCATCATCTCTACTAACTCTGGCACGAACCGTCCCTTGCATAGCACTCTACTTCTCTGGTGGGTTCGATAATTCATTGCAATGGCCACACACAACTCCTAGACCATACTCACGATTATGGGGTTTATTAGGGAAGTAACAGTTAAAATTCAGGCTCAGGAACGCTGAAAATGCAACTCTTCCATCAAGATAGCCTTTTCCCACCTGTGCTCACAGTCACATCTCTCCCTGGCCCTAGGCTTCTGCCAGCTCTCTCCTTCCTTGGCGGTGGTGGGCTCCTCTTCTCTGCTCTGGAATTGGCTCTCTTTTAAGGCAAAACTGACCAATCCCCTTAGTAGGCCACAATTACCCTACCACACTATCACCTGGGTGGGAGTTACAGGACCATGGCTAGAAAGGCCACACACAAAGGTAATTAAACCACCGCACCCTCCCTTCCCCCCCGTGGTAACCACTAACAAACTTTGTTCCTTGTACATTGCCTTTTCTTGTCTTTTTATTTAAGTGATGTGATACAATATTTGCCCTTTTGTGACTGACTGATTTCACTCAGTGTAATGTATTCAAACTATCCATATCATAGCATGTATCAAGACTTCGTTTCTTCTACTGGCTGAGTGTAGTAGTCATTGTCTGCATGTACCATGTTTTATTTGTCCATTGATGGGATTTAGGTTGTTTCCACCTTTTGGCTGTTGTGAATAGTGCTGTAGTAAACACTGGTGTACAAGTGTCTGTTTGAGTCTCTGCTTTCAAGTCTTTTGGGTATATACCTAGGAGTGGAATTGCTGGGTCATATGGTAGTTCTATTTTTAGTTTTTTGAGGAACTGCCACACTGTTTTCGACAACAGCTGTACCATTTTGCATTCCCACCAGCAATGAGTATGAGTTCCAATTTCTCCACATCCTCGCCACCGTTTGTTATTTTCTGGGTTATCTTAGCCATCCTAGTGGGAGTGAAATGGTATCTCATTGGGGTTTTGATTTGCATCTCAGATGGCTAATGACGTTGAGCATCTTTTCATGTGTTCAGTGGCTATCTGATTGTCCTCTTTGCTGAAATGTCTATTCAAGTCCTTTGTTCATTTTATGATTGGGTTGTCTTTTTGTTGTTGTCAAAGTTTTATATATACACGTTCTCCTTATTGACTATCTCATGATCCTCCATTTCACATTTATGACAACAGTAAAAAAATCTGCTATCCAACTGTTTTGCTCATTAACGACATACATCCGGCAGTAACAAACGCTGAGGTGCCAGGTGAGAGTAACACTGGCTTTGCTGGTTAAGGTTAGTGTCAACCTGGCTGGGCTGTGATTCTCAGTGGTTTGGCAGTTATGTAATGATGTAACTTGGCAGTCATGTAATGAAGTAATTTGGCAGTTATGTAATGATGTAGTCATCTTCCATTTTTGTGATCCGATGTGGTCATCCTCCATTTTTGCATAACACCAGTTTCACATAACAGCCTGGTCTTTGGCAACTAACCATGTCGATAAGTGAGGAGAGGGTGTATTTTGGTTATTAGAGTCTTATCGGATATATGATTTCTGAAGATATTCTCCTAGTCAGTTGCTTGTCTTTTCATTTTTTTGGTAAAGTCTTTTGATGAACAAAAGTTTATAATTTTTATGAGGTCCCATTTATTTATCTTTTGCTCTTTGTGCTGATAGCTTCCTTTTGTGGCCCTGGTGTGGACCTCTTCGACGGTCCTGGGGTGAGGAGGTTAAGGCTGGCAAGTTGGTGATGATCCTGCTCTAGGGCCACCTGGCAGGCCTTGGCCTGGCCCTGGCCTTTGGCTTAGCTGTAAAGACTCAGCTTTAAGCAGAATTGGCAGCAGAAGAGAAGTGGGCCGTGCTCCTGGCAAGGCCCTTGAGAAGGTGGGCGGGGAGTGGACATGCCGCTTTACCCCATCTTGTCCCCCTGCCCAACCCCCTCCTTCTACACATCCCCACCCAGGCCTGGGGAAGTATAGAACTGGAGGACCCTCCTGTGCTCCATGCTCAGCCATGCTGAATGCCCCTCCACTCCCTTTGGGAAGGGGCCGCACCCTAATCCAGGCACCCGGGGGAACCTGCTCATTATACAACAGTGAGCCCTTTCTGTCCATCTGCCCTGAGGGTCCTCGTGAGGTTCTGGGCCTCCAGCGGACTCCAGTTTTACACTGCCCCAGGACTGGGTGGGGATGTATTGGAGGAGGAGGAGGCCGGGGGGCAAGATAGTGGGAAGGGGCCAGGCAAGACACATGTCTACTCTGGCCCTCTGACATCTCCTAACTGCTCTGTCAGAGTGCATCTTACACCTGCAGAGAAATCTCCCTCAGGCTTGGTGTGGTGTGGGGTTCTCCTCAGTCCATTCACCTGGGCCCCTCTTCCTGCTCCACCACCAGATGTAAGCCAAGAGACAGAGGGGTGCTCCTGGGAAAGGGTGACACCCACTCCCCCAGCTCTTGTGGGGTGCTCCTGGGGAAGGTGGCACCCACCTCCCCCAGCTCTTGTGGGGTGTTCCAGGGGAAGGTGGCACTCACCTCCCTCTGCTTTTGTGGGGTACTCCTGGGGAAGATGGCACCTACTCCCCCAGCTCTTGTGGGGTGCTCCTGGGGAAGGTGGCACCCACCTCCCCCAGCTCTTGCGGGGTGTTCCAGGGGAAGGTGGCACTCACCTCCCTCTGCTTTTGTGGGGTACTCTTGGGGAAGATGGCACCTACTCCCCCTGCTCTTCTGGGGTGCTCATGGGGAAGGTGGCACCCACCTCCCCTAGTCCTTGCCTCTCTACCCTGCCATGATCTTTATTCTGTTCCTGCCTGAATCCGTCTGGCTGCCCTGGAAAAGGGTCTTCCTGCCTTGCTATGAGAGAGGACACTGAGGCTCAGTTGATGGTGTGGCTGTGCAGGTCCTGTGGTCTGCCCCTGCTGACCGCTCGGCATGGTGTCTCTGCAGAGCATAGCACTAGGCGTTGGGGTGATTTGTTGTAGCCCCAGTAACTGCACAGCCAGCGATGGCGATTTTTCTGGTGAGAGTTTAGATCTGGACTCAGTAAGAGAATACTCCCAGAATCCTTTCTCCACCCCGAGTGATCACATGAGCAGAGTTGTGGCCTCAGTCTTTCCGGCAAGTAGCACGTCCTGGGAGCAGCTGGGGCCCCTGTGCCAAATGGCCCTTGGCCTGGTGGCATCATGGTTTTGACCTGGCTGCCCTCTCCCCTTCCCCA